TAAGAAGTCGTGAGAAGTAGCTTTCTATTTCTCCATTATATTCGTCGCCTGCTTTGTGTCGCGCGGAGAGGCAGGTAGGAAATCACAAACTTAATACTCTTCCTTTGAAGTTGAAATTCTTCTATTCGTCAGACGCCAATCCGTAGAATTCACATACGTGGGCTTTGTAAATGTTTTCTTCTCTCAGAAACTCAAGAGACGCTTTTTCCTTAGGATGGCTTTGTCCTCCGCTCTAATGCACTGTCTAATTACATTTCTACAGAGGATTTTTAGAATGATAAGTGTATGAAAATGAAATTTGCTAAAGTTCTAATTATATGATTATTAGATCATTAATTAGATAACGATATAATTGTGGAAAATGTAATGTTAATTAATGCGAAAATAATATATTGAATTTGTCATGTGTCATTTTGTACGAGTGCTAGCGAGAACATTTAGAAAATATGAGCTAAATTGTTGAGTAGTTCTACTTGATTCGATTTAAATTTAATTTTTGTCGTGAATTATTGACTAAATTAAATTATTGAATATTTAACAAGTCTCTAATGCAAGAAAGATTAACATCTCAATTTATGATGTTATCTATTGTGAATCTGGCAATGCTTGTCTGGCGGTACATGCGTTTACTACCGCATTATCGCGCAGCTATCCGATAATTATTTATGTCTCTAGAGGCACAGCGCCCATTCTAGTCTAAGTTCGACCACTACGATGTACGTGAATTAATTGACAATTACTACATGGGGAGGTACTAATCAGAGCTTCAACATTAAGCTGGTTAATGAACTGCTATAAATAATGTAGAATACATGTAAGATTGGGAAATAAATAATTCATGGTTTGTAATGAAGTTATAATGAGAAGTCTATGAATATAACGTTTTAAAAATGTCTCAAAGACTTTTGCGAAAAACATCTAAAAGATATTTTGATTTTAGATTTCGTATTATTTAGGTAATTAAATGAGAATAAGTGGGATATGTTTAGAATTTTTCATTCGTATTTGTACATATTCGTACATGTACATTAATATTTAACACAAATATTCGTATATGTACATTAATATTTAAAGTCCGTTTTAATTCTATTGTGGGTATAACTAAATCTAAAAGAGATCTTTCAATAAGTGGTGTTCGACTGAAAAAAATCCTTTTTAATTTCAGTTAAAACCATAAACGAATATTTGATTAGGTCAATTTCGGCTGAAACAGAAATTGAAAATCGAAATTTGCATGGAAATTCTACATACGCAATATATGTGCGCACATATATTGCACTTATATATCATATATGTACACTTTTTTTATAAATATCATAATTTAATTATTAATAATTATACATTATCATCATCTTAGTATTACAATTCTATCATCACAATTTGTAATATTCTAGCAAGCAACAAACATATTGTAGTATGTAACATTGCAGCAACATTACAAAATGTTTCTTGCCTAGGATGTCACATACTATTTGTAATATTTCAATTATGGATATTATCTTAATAATAACAAAATTTCAAAATATAAATAAAAGTATACTTTGATCAAATTTTTGAAAAATCGAAAATGAATATTTCATATTAAAATAAATTTTAAGTAATAAATGTTTATTACAATATTGATCAGTTTTAACTACGTTGTCAAAATTCTCTTTCAATTTTAGCTGAAACCTAACCGAAATTTCAATTTTTAGCCGAAACTGACTGTAACCGAAACCGAATTTTCGATTGGACTTTACATGATGAATAATGTATATAAATTTTATTGAATTTTGAATATTATATTTATGATATGTATATTTTATTAACATAAGCCAAAGAGAGTCTGTATTTGGAGGCTTGAAATGTAAATTTATTGTATTAGAATATGTTGTTCCTAAAATAGGGATGGTAATTATCCAAACTCAATGTTCAGAGAAAGATAGAGAGGGAGAGAGATAGAGAGAGAGTAAGAGAAATTGCTCGAATTCATAGTATCACGCCATTGCTGTTGGCAGGCGATCGGCACCATCGGGGAAGCGACGCCATACGTTCGTCGCCAGTAGTACTGTGCGGTAATTTGAAATGCAGGAGCACGTCGCGCATTATATATTGACTGCACTACTAGCGTCTGCGATGTCGCCGGTATTTCCGAAGTTGTCCCTTACGAAATCCAACGGGGGCTGCTGGATGCTCCGTCGATTGCCTGTTCACCGTCCAAGCTCTTATACTTTTACTTCTTTTGGGAGTTACTAAGTTTCGCGTAATGGAAAGTAATTTCGAGAGTAACGACGTCCTCCTGAGAAGATTGCGGTGCAAAAGTATCATGCCCATCACGAAAAGTACTTAAATTGTGCATTAGAATTGGCAATTTATTATTATTTATTATTATCTTTTTATTATATATTAGGGAATTTAATAGATATTATTTATTATATTATTTATTATTATTTATTATATATTAGGTTTTTTTTAATACCACTTAACGGGAAAAACGTCACTTTTTCCCACACCTAATATTATATAGAAATAATAAAAAAAAAAACGTTTTAAATGAATAATATTATTTTTGTATTGTACATCATTTACATAGAAAATATTTGGAAAACAGACGAAAATTTTCGAAAAATAAAACAAAAACGTTTGAAAGTCTAGGGACAACACAGATTTACGTTCCAAGTCTCTACGTGAAAACTCTCTTTGTGAGAATTTGTGTTAATAAAGTAAGCATAAATATAATGGTCAAAGCTTAATTTTATGTTATATGTTATTCATTAGATGGTGTCTCATTAAAACGTTGCTTAGATTTGGTTATACGTACAAATTAAATGAAATATTAAGTATCATAACGTACATAGTTGAAGGTGTTAGAGATTTTCAACCAATTCTTATTTTATTCTGAATAAAATAAAAACTGAATTTGAATAATTACGAAAGCGTAATGCTATTACCAATCAATTGATTATGCGCTATAGCGATAAATTTTTTGTAAGATACAACAAACATATTGTGTTTCGTTTTTCATTGATATCTAATTTAAATTATAATTTTTTACAAATTCTATCAATATACATCCTCTGTAAATTGCATTCAGACATGTCATAGTGTATAAAATAATTCGAAATTATGCTAGATACTTTCAGGATAGATATATTATTCTTTCCATTAAAAAAACCATATAAAGTTCATGCAAGAGAAAACAATTTTTTTATTAGAATATTCTGTCATTTTCGAAATTTGCAATAAAAAAGAAGGTACTAGTTACATCTTGCAATACGAATTGCAGACACAATCATAGTAATCAATCATAAAATGGACGAACCGTAATGAATCGATAGACGATGCACGTTCGATTTGTCTTGAGCTAGTTGATAGATAGATGATGGATAGTACAATACTTGCGTTTCCAGTCCGGTCAAAAATAGCTGCGTGTAGATAGGGAAAGGACATACACTGTAGTACTCAGGGGCAAGGGGTGGCTGACAGGGACGGAGAGAGGGAGGGGGGGGGGGGAATTGGGGGGGGGGATATACCGGAGGGGGAGCCGTTATACTAATTTGGCGGGCGCTCGTTAACGACCCCTTTGAGGTCATAACTTTTGCCGCAAGCTCGACGCGTGTGCGAGCTTGGGTAGTGGCGCGAAGCGCGCGATGTACCCGGTGTCCTTTCTACATCGCGCGCGTCTCCCTTTCTCCTTCCTTTCCGTCGCGTTGTCGCCCCACTACTGGTGGTTTCAACAGCGTTTCAACGCTACTCGGCAGTCGGTACTCTAAAAGCATCGCAGAGCTTTCGTTGTCCCCTTTTCTCCCTCATCCAACTCTTCTGTCTCCTCTCTCTCTCTCTCTCTCTCTCTCTCTCTCTCTCTCTCTCCCTCCCTCCCTCCTTCCCTCCCTCTCTCCTTCCCTCCCTCCCTCTCTTCCTGCTTCTTTCTTCCTTCGTATTAGAGGGGGCACGCACGTTACTCGACGAGCTTTCGGGCGCATGCCCGGCCAATCAGCGCGCACCGCGCGCAACGTAATCGCGGGTTCACCAAGTGGGGATGAGAAACGTGCTTTCATCTCGCGGACGCTCTTCGAGGAGCTTTCTCGCAAGCTCAGTAAGCGCTGCGAGCTCGCCGTGGCTGGGAGCGTTTCGTGGTTGTTACGCGTTGATAGATCAAGTATAATCCTCGCAGACTTCGCAAGAAGTATAATCCTCGTAGACTTACTCTAGTAAGACAAGATATTCACTATTCTTCAAGTTTCAAAACTTCGTACGGGGGAAAGTTCTGCGAAGAAAAGTCGCGAGTTGGCAAATCGTGATAGTCTCGCCGATGTTTGTTTGTCGTGAACTTACTGCAAATTAACTCGTATCACAGCGAGATACACTTGGCAAGTTTCCGAAAAATCTTACTTTTGCGGAGACGTGAAGGAGTTACTCCATTAAATTCCAGATGGGAATTGTAACTTTTTATCGAAGAAAGAAAAAAGAGACACAATTAAATTGAAGTTTCGCATCTACTTCGTATCGAACGAATGTTTTGATCAAAAGATAAAAGTTCGACTATATTCGATGAATAGGAGGAGGTCTAGTTGCACTAAGGGGCACTTCAACTTACTTCGCTAAGTTGCGCTGAGAGGATCCCGGATCGAGGAAGCTAGCCCGTGAGGAATTGCGAGGTAGCTTTCGGCGAGCTGACGTCATCTAGAACAAACAAGTAGACTGAAGACGCGGCAAGGAGGGTATTATATCCTAAGGCTAAAGGAAAGAAAGCGAAGGCGAAGTAATAGGGGCGAACAGCAGGAGCAGCAGCAGTTGGAAAAGGAGTAGGTGAAGAAAGAAGAGTAAGAACGAGAGAGTAGAAAGACATCAGAGGAAGCATCGAAGTTGAAAGACGAGAAAAAGGAAAAAAGGCTTGGAAGCTCGAGCCTTAGGATTATTACGGCAGACAAGTTAGACAGGCGAGATAGGATTTCGATCGAGGTATTTCCGGATGCTGTGGTGATTAAGAGCCGATTAATGCGATCGGCTCTAATTAGTAATCAGTTAGCTCGCAGTCGTAATTCGCTCTGTCGTTCAACGCTATTGCATGATCGCGAACATCTGCTAACTAACACGTCATCATCGTCATCGTTGTTATCGTTATCGAAAGGAAGATGAAACCGATCTTATCTCGATGCTAACTCTAGACATTTTTGGCATCATCCGGCAATGATGACGGACGCAGCATTCCTGGGAAACGTCTTCGTGCTTGTTATCGATTGATTGATCAGATTGACTGATCAGACAAGGAATTGGATCCCGTATTACTAGGACGAGGACGAACGATGTTTCATAAAGCCACGTAAGGATCGCGCGTGTCTGTCTTCTTTCTCTTCACTTTTCTTTCGTCGAGGAAGACGGAAAGAGAAGGAGCTAAGATGTGCTCGAGATCGTTCCTACTGTGCGTCCTCGGCATCATTGCTGTCATCAACGGTAAGCCTATGTTATCGTTAAGCCTTATAACATAACGGAAAGTTGATTCCTTGATTGAGGTAATTTTCTATCTTCTGCACGAAAGAGAGAAATTGTTTCTGAAGAAACAAAATCTTTTCGTAATTCATACCTTTAACTAAAAAAATAAAAAATGTAATTTATGGCAGTTTAGGTATTCGACATGATATTGATGATCATTATTACTCTGATAATTATTGAACATGTTTGTATGGTCAACGAGTATTTCTGAGATGATTAACTTTTTGTAGACTACTCTAACTGAATTTTACTACTTATTATGAGTCAGATCACTTAGATCGCTGAAGAATGATTGTTTTTCAAAAGATTTTTGTGCTCTAAAGAAGTTCAACATTATAGTTTCCAGTTATATGACTCGAATGTTTTTTACTTTTTTTAATTACATGTTCGAATTTGAGGCAAAATCAGCAAAATAATTTAAAATTGAGAAACTATCTTTAAATCCCCCCACGTGGTCTGTAGGGAATTAAGAGAGAATATTGCAAAACTTTTGGAGAGATTTCTGGGAGATTTTCAAGCGTATTCTTAATTATAATTGCTACTGACGTAAAAACTGGAATGAGAGAAAGAGAAGAGATGGAAATATTAAAAGTTTATAAAAAATTAATACCTATGTATGTGATAGATGAAAACAATTTTTTTTAATTGATTAAAAATCCCTTGACTGCATTAAAAAAGTTGTTTGTCTACCAATGTACATGATCTTCCGAAACTAACTCGAAATTTGCGTGTAAATTGTACGTCCAGCTCCGGAAACGTAAATAAGAGCTAACCGAGGTAACTCATCATTCTTTATGTTTCTTGTTCTCCGGCGTGCCTTTCTCTGCGCGGCGTTGACGAGCGACATAGATGGACCTCGCAGAAAAAGAACGACGAGAAGTCGCGGAAGGGAGGGTCTGACGAAAATGCTCGCTCGTCGAGCACGCGGTAACACGACGGTTTTATACATGGTCGGTTTTTATGAATCATACGCCATACGCGCGTCCGATAGCCGTAATCTATGTGTTGAAATCGAGAGACGACGAAGAGAGACGGGCAGTATAGTACGATGAGGTGAAAGAGAGAGATGGCCGGTTAAGTTCGTAAAGGTAAGAGAGAGAGAGAGGGAGGGAGGGAGGGAGGGGGGAGAGAGAGAGAGAGAGAGAGAGAGAGAGAGAGAGAGAGAGAGAGAG